TAGTAAACAGAAACATGTTCAATTTTCCGAAAGAGTATTGAAAAATGCAATGGATTATTTAGTTGGGATGTAAAAAAGACTAGGGATTATTAATGTATATCTACAGTTGGGATGTAAAAAAGACTAGGGATTATTAATGTATATCTACCTATTGAAATTCGAATGGAATTATATCAGTATCTATTGTTTACAATGGCTCAACCAATTGGAGATAGTTGAATAGTGGTTAGATCCCCCATCTTGACATCTGTATTTAAATTAAAATACTGCTAAATCTTATAATAATTAATTAGTTTGATTTAAATTGCAAAAACACTGCTAAAAATTTTCTCTAGTGTAGTCTCAATTATGGCTTGTCACAATTATGGCCGTGCCATTGATTGTTTAATTTATTTGATAGCCGTAGGATATTTTTATTATTAGCATGTTTTCAATATCAGATTGTACAAACTCAGCCTATTCACATAAATTTTTAAAAAAGTTTTTGCAATCTTGTCCATCTCTTGCAAAGTATCTTAGTTCACTTATTGACTTATTTGTTTCCTATTCTATGGTTCTGCGCCATGTATTGCGTGGTTTACCTGTGTTTTTCCGCATCTAAATTATCGAAGCCGTATTTGCTGTACCAATAAGTTTCTGTGCAGTAACACAGCACAGCCTCTCGTTCGAGATTACTCTCGGCCATCAAATCCGCAAGATGGAACGGATGCATCTGTTAACAAAACATTGTAGTTTTTGAGCTGATGCCAATGTTAGCAGTACAAATATAACGCAAAAATTGAAAATGAGAAGTTTAGTATCTTGTATTAAGCTCCAGATGTTGTCACTCTGCTGCCCTAGGATATAATCAACGAATTTTAATTATTCTAATATATATATATATATATATATCTCAAAAACTACAAGATGGGCTGTTAGAAACAATTTGATCAAGCAAATCATGTTATCGCAGTTAAAGCTCATCAAGACTATTTTCTTAATTTTCGAAGTTGCCAGTTTCGATTATGAGAATTTTCAATTAAAAAAAAACTATCCGCTAACTTTAATGGGAATACTGTCTCCTGCATTTTAATGTGGCAACTACGTGCAAGTACAATAAAACGTTGTTAGGATAACTCACAATCTTACACTCTGCTGTCCTCCCGCTGATAACATTAGAGGTATATATATGTAGATGATCTCGCAATTACTGCATAAACAAAATAACAAAACTGGGAACATGGTGCCAATAATCGTGAGAAATGGATTATTTAAAAGGCCTACACTATTTCATAGTTATGTTGCCAAGAAAAAAATTAATTTTTTTAAATAAAATTATACATTTAAAAAAAAATAATTAATATTGACATTTAATTAAATACAACAGGGGATTACAAACAAAATGACTTAAATATCTTGTGTTCACGATAATTGACATTTTTATTATAGTTAATTGACTTATTTCCACTAAATATTTTTTTTAATTAAGTTAAAAGTAGTACAATTTTTTTTAAATGTTTCAAATATCTTAAACTGATATCATATAATGAATAACCAGATCGGCCAGTGTTTGAAGTTTAATAGAAACTTATGTGTATATGTCGAATAAGATTAACTTATTTGAAATTGACAGAGTCCCATGAGAATAGACGCATCTATCAGGTATGGAACTGGAATGAAGTGATATGAGCAAATTATTTGCTGATGTACTACATAAAATCAACTTTTTATATTAAATACACTTAAATAATATTTAATAGAAGTGTACATTATGCCAGCCAAATGAAGATTTCTCTTCAAACCCACACACGTTTACATTTTATTAATTAATGGATTAATTTAGTTTAATATTGTGATTTTTAAATTAGTTACATGAAAACAATAATTTTATTACATATTTTTGTATTATATTTTAATTATATATTTAATATAAAAAAATTCTAAAAGGACCGATGATTTGGCAAAACTTGAAACGGCTTAATAGTGAACAAAAGATTCAATTAAATGAAAATAATAAAATTTTGTTATTGCAATTTACTACTGTTCAAAAAAATCTCTTTATTAAAATAAAAATTTTTATAAAGAAAATTGTTTTTTTTTTATTGTCTGACATTAAAAATTTAATTCAATATAGTTATTATGAATAAATTGACTTAAATAACTTGTTACAATTAATGAATATTTTGGAGACCTCACAGAGTACTATTTTTCAGATGCTATGCATAATGTTGTGATAATGTTTCTACAGCTTCTGTTTTATTCGGATGCAATCATAGTCGCCAACTCGTAGAGGACCAAAGATCTTACGAAGAAGTTTTCTTTCGAAATGGTAATAATTTTTGTTTCGCTGTGCTCACATAACAACACTAAAATACCAGCTTGTTCCTAAAAGGCTAAAATTCTGGACTTATCATAGAATCTTTCTTCATCGTGTCCAAAATATAATCAAATTCTTTTCTCATTCTCAACTTTTAAATTAATTTAATTAATTTTAATTTAATTATTTATCAATATTGCTGAGATAATATTGCATTAGGATTGGCAACGATCTGCCGTTTGCCTGTTTGTTTTGGCCCACGTTATACTTGAGTAATTCTTGAGAATTAAATTTGTTGAACTAAGTTTTGATGCTTGCTACACTTGATGAATTTCGCAGATTGAAAATTAGTATACAATATAAACTCTGCTTGGTGGTAGTGTACAAAAGGTATATTTTGAAAAGTAATGTAACATTTATTTTGGTATTTACAATAATTTTACATTCACTGCTCGCTGTTCACTGTTTTGTTCTGGTATTAAAAATAAAACATCGAGTGAGTTTAAAATGGAAAAAATTGAAAAATTACAGAATAAATATATTATGTTTACAACAGCATTAAAGCATGAGTAAAATTTAATCCTCCATTTTACTCAAGTGTGGCATGGGCTTGTAACATTGACAACGATATGCCATTCGCCTGCTTATTTTGATTTGCACATCATAGGATTCAAAACGAGTTCAGAGTTTTCACCACAGAGCTAGGTAGCATGCAACCATGACAACATCTCAACTGTCAAATGTCAATTCATATACAAAACGGCAACTAAAAACGGCAATAACTAAATACTAAAAATACCAGAAAAAAGTAAAAACATAAACAAATTAAAACGAAAATAAAAATAGAAATCAAAACACTGTTAAAAAATATTCAAGCAGCTAATAAACTAATAAATTGATTTAATTATTTTGGTTTTGGCAATTTGTGTTGATTGCTCAAAATATTTTGCACTTAATTAATCTTAAACAACGGGAGTGTGCACAAACTAGCGATGAAGTATCCATCCAAATATTCAATAAAAGTTGTTTCATTTTAAACAAAATTAGTATAAATAATAAAAACAAAAATATTGTAGCTATAAAAATAGAATTAATAGACAAACAAAACATAACATAAAAACATAAGTAATATGAAAAACAACAAACAAACATAAGCGTCTTATTGGCTGCTTCGTTCATTGCCAATCACAGCATTGCCAATTCCACTGTTGTAGGGAAAAAAATTATACAACAAAGTAACTTTTAACAACAATGTGTAGTGTGTAAACTTGTGTGTAGTTTGTACAAAACAATTTTTGTTAAAATGGACATGCGTGGACACGCCCACAACAGCAGATAAAAGCTGTAAATACTTTAATAATAATAAGTGGGGGCGCTTTCATATGTTAAGACATTTCTGCGTTTGTTTAGAAAAAACTCTTATTGAAAACAAAAGAAAAGTTATAAATTTGCCTCACTACTATAGTGGGTGTGTTTATCATTTGATTTATGTACTCAATATATAAAAGTGTGGTATGCTTGTGGCGGCTGCTGTTAACCACCATCTTTTTATATTACCAAAGTGTGACTTCATTAGCTATATTACTACCATTAAGTATATTACAGTTTTACTAGTTGCACTTACGCTATGCTTTCTTTTTGATATTCCCACTTTGTACACATATTCCAATTGGATTTGTATTAAAATATATAGTCATCCTCATTGATCTTATTTCCTATAAGTACAGCGGACATTTTTTAATGCTTACCTACTTGCGCTTATTGTAATACAGTCTATGCTTAACACACCACAGTAGCTCAAATTCACCACACTTGATTGTGTAGGCAAAATTCATATAGTTTCTCTATTTTAACTGCAGTGGACGTAATTTATTTGTTGTGCGCAAGTTATTTTTGCTCTTTTTCACTTCGAACGTTAGCTGCTGCATTGTCTGTTTGTTTGGTGTGCATTTGTTTTTGGTATTTTGTGTGGCTGCCCTACATACAGACATGGTTTCCCGCTGCACACTCATACAGTGCATGCATAGCGAGCACATGTAGCGTGTGCCCTGTGAAGTAATACTACTTCAGTCAATTTAGACTCGTACGGAAACCAGTACGACAGAGAAACCAACCACCGTGCGCGCCGTTTAATGCGTTGCGTTACGTATGTGAGCCAAACAGCTACACAACACAGGGCAACAAATCTTTAAGATAGAATTTCAGGAGTCAGTTCAGTCCTGCTGCGCATCTTGTATCGGAAAGTCTGGTGCTGCATGCTGTTCGCTAACGTACGAAAAAATCTCAAATAAAAAAAACTCATTCATAAATGAAAAATTGTATCGTCGTGTATTTCGTTTGCAAGAGCTCCCGACGCTACGGTAGAATATTTGTGATTTAATTTTTTTGTAAATAATTGGCAAACTAAATTAGCCACGAAATTCCTTAGGCGGTACGCGTCGCGTACGTGTGAAAACTGTGCTTTTAATTAAACTTTGTTAAGTGTTAAAAAAATCAATTAATTGCTTCAATCACAAAGAAAAAGAAGAAAATTGCATTAAAATACTTGAAGTGAAGTGAGAAGGGAAGTTTAATCTTCACAAATATATTTTGTTTGCACTTTTAGTGCTAAATATATTCGTACTATAAAAAAATGTATCACATTATACTATATTAAAACAAGAAGCAATAAATTTGTAAATAAAATTCACATAAACTGCATAAAAGCTACAATTTCAAAACATTTATTATTGCATAAGCAATTAGACCCCTTCTAAAAAGTTACCCCCTCAAAACGAAAACTCTTACTAACAGCCACAAAATGATGATGAACGCTTTTATCGATCCTTCACCCGCGCAACATCATTTGGCTTCTTATGGTTTACGTATGTCACCAAATACCGCTAATCAACAAACTGATATCTTAGGCAATCCACAACAACAGCAACAACAACAGCAGCAACAACAACAGCAGCAACAGCAACATGCTCAGCAACAGCAATTGGATCCAACTCATCATGGTCTCATGTCGCTTGGCAATACTGCTGATATATCTGCTAGCATGTCGGCTAGCGCTGGTGCTGCCACATATCAAAACACTGGTTACGGTCACTTCAATACACAACTCGGCTCATATTCCTCACGTGACTTTCTGCTCGGACGTCGTAGCGATAATGATTACATGTCCTCTACTGCTAGCAACCAATTGGTTGGTCAAAGTGCTGCCACTGCCAGCGCGGCCGATTCTATGTTATTTCCAACATTTCCCGCTACACATGCCAATCATCCGGATCTAACCACATCCTTTGGCAATCATCCTTTTCATCCGCATCATCATGCCGCTGCAGCGCAGCATCATCACCATCAAATGCGCATGGGAATGGCGGATTATGCGCATCCATACGCTGCCGCACATCATGCCCAACATCACACAAATTTCCCGTCGGTACATCATCATCAACATGCAATGTCAATGCATCCAGCTGGAGCTGGTGCATTTCTACGCTATATGCGCCATCAGCCAACTGCTGCCTCGGCCATCAAACAGGAAATGCAATGCCTGTGGGTAGACCCCGATCAACCGGGTGGACCAAATGCACGCAAAACCTGCAATAAGATATTCCATTCAATGCATGAGATCGTCACACATTTAACCGTCGAACATGTTGGCGGTCCCGAATGCACCACACACGCTTGTTACTGGATTGGCTGTTCGCGCAATGGACGTCCTTTTAAGGCTAAGTACAAATTAGTCAACCATATACGCGTACATACCGGCGAAAAGCCATTCGCTTGCCCACACCCTGGTTGCGGCAAAGTATTCGCGCGTTCCGAAAATCTAAAAATACACAAACGTACTCACACCGGTAAGTGTCTAAAATATCTACGTTTGTTTTTATATATATAAACAAATAATATTGTATATAAACATAAGCATTTGTTGCTAAATTTAGTTAGTTCATGAATTGTCTTTATTTAATGGGTTTAACCCGACAATGACCGAGGAAGGATTATTGTGGGCGTTTGCACTGACTTTTGCGGATTCTCCGTGTAAGGTTAAGAGGCGTTTAATCGCATTTCATATGAAAGATGGAAACATTATTTTAAATACCTCAAAGTATTATTAGTACCTGATGTATTTAACTTTGCGAAACCAAATATGTGGAGTTTTAGTGAAGATACATTTTTTCTGTAATTTATGAAGAAAATAAACTACCTGTGGTGGCTCAGAGATGATTGCAGGACAGTTTCGAAAAATAACATACATCAAACAGAGTTAGTAAATACTGGATTTACAGTTGCAATAGTTGTAATGGATTAACTCTAAGGATGTATTGCGGTATTTACATAAATCACAAAGTAGAGAGTCAAGTTAAATATCAAATAAAAAAAGTCAAATAAATACATATATAATGTATAACCACAAAATACATAGAAGAGAAGATTTTATGAAGTTTGGAATTTTAGAAAGAATTTAAATAATTCGTTTAGTTTGAAGTTGAAAAGTCATTTTAGTGAATTTCAGTACCGATGTGGCCTCTCTGGGCATCGTTTTCTGGAGAACTGTCAAATGCTTTTTTGACAAGGACACGATAGCTGTGACTCCTAATACAATATTCTAGTTATATAGATTAGATCTTTGAATATTTATACATTTTGTGTTTAAAACTATTTACAATTACTTATTTAATATTAATAATTACAACAATAATTATTACAGTAACAATATTTTTAAATTTCAATCGGAAGAAAAAGCATTATAAAGGAAGCATTTGATCTAAGTGAATTAATCAACTTCTGGAATTCTTTCTTAGTACTAAAAAAAACTAAAAGGAAAGCTTTCATGACGTCTTTATTAACTTAAGTGATAACTATAGATAATTAGTAAAAATTTTAATAAAACAAAAAAAATTTTATTTAGATTTAGTGAAGTTTTAACACTCTTCAAACAGATAGGCGCAATAAAAGTAAAATTTTTATTAATTTATTCTTAAATAGTCGTTTATAAAAATTTCTTCCTAATTGTTTTTGAGTATATAAATTTGATTTTTTATTTTAAATATAAGAAATTTACATGTAAAAAAAATATTACACGTGTTTTTAAATCAAATTTTAAACACAAAAAATAATATGCGAAATTATATTATATTCGTTTAAAATATAAATAGAAAGATCCAATGCAGAAGTCCATTCGATTAGTTCTGTTATTTATCAAGATAATTACTCAATTACAAACAGACAGATATACGATAGATAGATGGATATATAAAGAAATAAATAGATAGACATCACAAGATTGATTCTTGTAATACTAATTAAGAATACATGCTTTATGTAGTGACCAAAATCTCTACAAAGACATAAATAAGTATGTTTTTATTTTATTGTAGTATCTATAATTTATTATTATTTTATAATTTTCATACATTAAATGTAAATTTTTTTTTATGTAAACATATTAGAAAATATTACACAATTCTCAATATGTTCTCAATTTTAAACTTCTACACAGTATCATTATATCGTATTAGATTCGTATTTGTATTAGATTTAGTACAAAGAATTTTTTAAACAAACTTCATAAAGAAAATTTTAGGTTTCAAAACCTACATTATAAACCCATACATTCCCATTTACTCGACTCGATTTACCATTTATCTTTTCATAACACTATAAAAAGAGTTTTGTGTTTAAAAAATCACACAGTTGCTCTTCATCGTCCTCCTCTGAGATCATACATATTTACGTTAGCCAGAGACTTTTTCAGACATCAAAAGATATAGTTATCTGACGCTATAATGACTTTTTTCAGACCCTGACAACTGCTCTGATTTTTATTACCATAAAAATAAATGTTTAATGCCATAAATGTAAGTACTAAAGCCATAAACATATAAATTACTTACAGATATAAAAGATAAAATATATATCTTTGATTCATTCTTTTTGAAATGACTTCTAGTAGTAAATATTTAAATTAATCATAAGAACAAATGGTACTGTTAGAAAATAGATGATAGGCTTGCAATCCATCCAAATGTCTGAATTCAATAAAATAATTGAGATTAGGCTCTATTTAACGAAATATCTTATTTCATTAAATTAAAAAGATTGGAGATCAAGAGAATTTCAGTTTCAAGACTTAGAGTATTTTAAGTTTCATTAAAACTTTGAAATGGCTTGAAACCTTTTAGATTTAAACGACAATACGATAGTCCAGCAAACATCGATTAAACATTTTATACCTTGGAACAGTTACGAGTCCACTTAAATGTTAAATAGTATTATTTATGTTGAACGTTATTGACACGATAATTTTTCTAAGTTAAGATTTTAAAAATAATAAATATTTCTTATTTGTTATTCAAATAAAGTTAAATTCAATAAATTGTCTATTTCACTAATACTAATAATTTAGTGAAACTATTCCTAACACTAGATACACAGACAGTCATTGACCGCATTAAACTACAATATCGCAAAAATTGCAAAATTCTCCATTGATTTTTCAGATACTGACAACTGCTCTGATTTTTATATGTTTAACCCCAAAAATGTAAATGCTAAAGATATAGGAACATATAAATTACATAGAAACAAGCCCAAAGCACATTTCCTTTAACACTTTCCATTGCCTCGAAACGGAAGTTTTGACACGTGTCAACACTCTTTGACACATACAAAAACACACATTAAATATGAGTATAAATGCATATTGTTCAAATCATTTATATACACAATATCTGAGCACATACATATATCTAGATATGTAACTGACAAGAAGAAAAAGCACTAATCGGACATGAAGTGTTGATGTGAAATCAATGATTGAATTTTGATTTACGAGACTTTCAGAATGTTCTCTCGTTCACAATTGGAATAGGGTTTAATGAGGCGTTTCTGCTATGATTGACCTTCATGCCTTACTAGAGCGGTTGTCAAGTGGTCTTTGTTTACCAACAGCTCGTATATCCTGTAGACGACGTATACTTAAGTACCTTCATTACGTGCTCCAAAATGATGCTTAACTTCGTTAAAAATACATCCTTTTCTTACTTATATATAAGAGAACATAAGGGGCTAAGAAGAGTGTGTATAGAAGAAGTAGATACTAGAAAAAGGAAGAACTATTTGAAAGAGGATATATGTAATACGAGTATCTAAATTAGATTTTTATATATAATTTTAATACAAATAAAATATGAGTGTTGCCGTAATATAAAATTTTAAATTAGTCCTTACAGGTTATATCAGAATAATTTTATATAGCGTTAAATTAAAAAAAAAAAATATATAAAATAAGTATATTTTTTTGTTCAAAAAGTTAAATATTAATATAATAATAATTGGCAGTAAGAAAAACTCTTTTCTTTTATATAAGAATTAAACGATGAACTGCAATAAAAGTTAATCGATAATAAAGTAAGGTTATTGAAACTCGTAAAGTATAAATTATAAAGTTTATTGAAAATTTTAATAAATACTGTATTCAGGAATGCTTTCTTATAGGTCTAAATGCTGTTTAAAAAGAAATTTTACTAATTTATATAATTTGCTCTTAATTTTAATACTTTTAATTATAGTTTGAAATAAAATTTTGTAAAAATTATTTCATATTCAAACAAAAAATATAAAAACTTTAAAATTCATTTTAACTAAACTTTAACATGTAAAATATAATCATGGACTTAGTTCCACGAACGTTACTTGAAGATCATTAAAAGTCCTAAATTGTTTTTAACCTCTTTGGGTTTCATATTGCACATATGAGATATGGTTCTCCAGATGTATGTGGGAGCATAGAATCATCACAATTACCTAATCGAAAGTAATTAATTTCTTGTACTCTGCTAATATTCTGAAAATATTAGTTTAAAAAGATATTTAAATGCATTACAAGAAGAATAGTTAATTATAATAATAATATTATTGTCTTTAACTCTATTATATATTATTTAATAATATATAAATGATCATATATGGATACTGAGAAAATATGAATTTCGTAGACGTTTTATTAATCCATTATTATTATGACTATGTTCATAAAAATAAATTCAAGAACTTGGTCTAATCGCAAAAGATATCCAACTATTCCTATAACGCGCGATAGATGTTAGTTCACTGAAAGGTTTGCTCGATTCTCAGTTGATTGTCCTTCTCCATGTACTCTTTGGTTGACCTTTGGTCAAACAATGTAAGATAAAGTCTTGCGTTTAGTTCAGTCGGCTGCCCTATTACACAATAAAAACAATTATTTCATTGATTATTCTAAGATATTAGGTAAAAACTTCTCACATCAGATTTGATTCAAATCAGATCTGAATGGTTATATCTTTAACTTTATTTTAATTGCTAAAGATTGTAAATAAATTACAGAAAAGAAAAATCTAGAAAAATAGAGATTGCACTGATTAATTTAAAATTTTAGAAAAAATTAATTATAATAATTCGTAGAGTTTATTTTAATAAAACTAATATACACTTGCTATAGGTAAATAAAAGACATTATCAATAAAAAGCTTGTACTTGAACCGTCCGTCGGGTTATACTTATACGTAAGTAGGTACATGTAAAAAGATTTATTTATGACATAAAAGACATTATTATTTGTTATTTACATTTAAAAAGGTTTTTTTTTCTAACATCTATATGAAACAACTATTATAACATTAAAGTAAAAAAGGCAAAAAAATATTGGACAATATTCCTAACCAAAGTCGAGAAGATAAAATTATAGAAATATCAAGAATAATGCGGACAATATGCATAACTCTCAAATTAACTGTTTTTTTAATACTGTTAGAAGTTCAGCCCATTTTTTCTTATTAAAACCTGTAAATATTTTTCACTAGTATATTGATCATTTCATAGTACTTTATGTAGATAGTTATTAGTAAATGTAGTGGAAGGTTTCTTCTTTTTATGGCAAATATTCTTAAAAGACGGCTTTGGATAATATGG